AACAACAACTGTTGTTGTAATTGTAGTTTTTTACTCAGGGACTAGAGGCAACAACACAACTCTGGAAGGACGCCACAAAACAAACAAAGAAACAAACCAAGATTGGTTTGTTTCTTTAACTTAACCATCCTCAATAAGGAGCACCAGAATCTTTTCCCTGTTTCTTTAAATCTGAAACATCTGGCACTGTCTCTTAAGCGATTGATGAAGCGCTCCTATACGACCCTGACTCATTTATCATTGAACACTTACAAGAAAACCTGTTTTAGCCCTTCGATGTGACGGTTGACCTGTCATTTTTCATTAACTTGAAGGTGAAACCGCTCAATGTGAGAATGTGAGTAAATCTAGGACTCAATGTGATGTGATTAATAGGAAGTGCTGTCGCACATTCTGTTGTCAATTGTAGAAGTGAAGTTATTTGTTAAACACATCACTTTATTGTCGGTTATGTAACACGCATGTTGTGTGCCCCAACACATCAAGAGCTGACGTTGTCTTTGTCAAACATTTTGTTTGTGGTCTGAGGACAACCAAAGGGCCTTTCAGATGAAAATGAGGGCATCACAAAAACACAAAAGCAAATACAAGTTACACACACACACACTCGCACACACACCACAGGGACAGGAGTTGGCATTAAGTAAAGCCAAGTGTGTCATTTCCACTCAACTTCTCCGCCTCTTTTCTGCTGAAGCTGTCGCAAAAATATTTTTGGCAGAGCGACGGCGATCTGAGTCAGTGCGACTCACCGACTGCACTCGCGGTTCCTTCGTACGAGCACTCATGCACAAGTAGACGTACGCACATAGACCTACACACTGCTCATGCTCCACCATTCAAGTTGTCACAAAGATGTTCTGGACCCCGACTTAGAGGTATGACTCAATCAGACTCTTACTTTCGTACATATTTTACTCCCTCTGCCTTCCCACACACACACACACACACACACACACACACACACACACACACACACACACATAGATGCACAAACTCTCTGATCCACTGTACAGTAGCACTCTGCACCAGACCAGTATCTGTAGCTCTGCAGTATCCTGAGGGTAGAGCTTTGGCAGCTATCAAAGAATAATGATTCACTGAGCCCTGCCTTGATACGGAATATTTTTCTCTAATATCCCTACATACACACACACACACACACACATACAAAAAAACAGACACTTACACACATTGTTATTGTCGTGTTACTGTATCCCTACTAAAAATACAAACTTGTGCGAGGATCTGTGAGGTTTCTTCAAAATTCTTGCATGTTATTTAGCAATAATTTCTGTAGCTGGAACTAAAAACGAAACAAACAAGATTGATTTCACAGCAGTTAATTGATTTTTTTTCACTCTCGTCTTCGCTGGGAAATCAAAAATAACATATGTAGCATTTATAATTTTGTTATACTTTGTTCCGATAAGTTAACACTGTGTTGTGAAGAATCCTTTAGGGAAATCAGACCTTAAGTGCGCCTGGCAAATCTCAGCGGAGGCGATTGAAGTGAAAACTGTGTAGAGTACAAGTAGACTGTGAGTGCAGCACTTATTCCAAAGTATTTAAACAAGGAGAGTTGATACTGAAAGAGCAATCAGTGTGTTATTGTGAAAACATACCCCTTGCCACGCACTCGTGTTCTCCAAAGAGCTCTTTGCACTGGGGGCTGATGTCTGATGCGTCTGTCTTTCTACAGCATCAGTTTGTTTCACGACACTTCTTTGCCAGCACAATAAAGGAGATGAATATGTCATTCCAGTTGTCTTAATGTGTCACATCGCAATGCGCCGAAATCAGATAGCGTGACTCACCTGAAATCACACTTTGATATCAGATATGGAGCGTGCTGCACTTAAATAAATGAGGAACGATATAATGATACTAAGCTCTTTTGATTACTGCACGGTGTCCCTGACAGTTAATGATCAGTCACGGTTGATCCATCAAGTGGCTTGATCACAGAAATCTAATATATTTCCATGAAATTACCTTTTTATGTGTGATAATGTGGCCCACAAATGTTATCAATATTGATCTATGATGCAAAATAATCTATCAGTACGTTTTGTATGTTTATTTCTCTCTATAGAATTGGCTGGTTTCCATATATGTGAAATAAATAATGAACCCTTTGGTGGAATTCAGGCTTTCTTGCTGAGTTTAATGTATCATGTCTTTGTATTAAAAAAACCTTGTGAAACAAGACATACATTTTAAATTCAATTTTTTTGATACAGCCCAAAGTCACACATTTGTAACGGAGGAGGTATTATAAAAAGGAGTTTAGGAGTATTAAGTAGTTTCCAAATGATTGTTAATTGTCGATTATTAAATGTTACAGTATTTTTGTTGACTCATTGAATTTGAGGGCTTAATACATTCATTTAATTAAATGGGATTTGCTTCTATCGAGCCTCACCTATCAAATGAAATTGCACAAACCCAATTTTGCAATGACATATAAAATCGTCAGGATTTAATTGAAATACCTAACCCCCATTAAATAATCCCTTACACTTGAATAAGACTGGGTGAGGGGGGAAATACAAAAGCTAGCTGGCATTTTGTTAAATTGTTAAAATAACATGACTTACAAAATGAAAGCTGACTATTAAAATGCTAATGCCTATTACCAAATCCATACTCATAAATAAAAACAAGACCATGTTTGTTGTCGTTTATGTTACCGGCTTCTGAGCACAGCTAAGAATACACAAACATGAGTGTGGTATCAATGTTGCAACAGAAAAATGAACGCGGAGGCAGGTTTGGGCACCTCGTCCGAAACAAAGTGGCCGTCGGCTAACACAGGGATTCATTTAAAACCTTCAACTAACTGCTGTTTACTGCATTCTTAGACTTTGTTTTAGATTCAGACCTTGGCGAGTGGCTTGGTTTATTACAACATTTTCACTGCATAATTAAAGGATGGTCAAAACTTTAAGAAAATAATATCTTTTGACTTAGATGAGTCATTGTGAGGGAGGGTCTGGTTAGCTTAGTAGTACTGTGGCGTCTTGAACCTTTTAATAAATTATTGAGAGGCCGGCAGCTTCCTACTTGTTCCTCCTCTCCTGTCTGGTTTGTTGGCTTTATATAATAAGTACTGGAATGGACTGTTATGGGTAAAAAAAAAGATGGATGGATGTTGTTGGCTAAATGAAAAGAAAGTCACACGGAAAGGTGTAGAAAACAAGAGAAGGAGACCGTGTGATGTGGGGATTATGCTTCGGTTTGCATTTGATCCTGAGGAAGGCACTGACATGCCAGAAGGGCTCAAATCAAGGGTTCAGAAAAGATGAAAACACGTACTAAAGCCATAAATAGAGCAGTGAATAGAGCTCGAGAGGGCGACATGCCGTTCGTTAAAGATACTTTAGAAAAGTTCACACAGAATCTTTCAATCATAGCAGCACATCTTCCCTTTTTCAAAAGTTTTATTTTTTATATTGTTGAAACAAGACATTCTAATGTTGTGTTAAAGATGTGTTATTCTTGCAAGAAAAAGGGCTAAGATGTTGGAACCGTATCGTAGGCTGTTCATGCAAAAACAAAGTGTGACTGTCACATCTGTGCATGCCTATACACATGCAGCTATTATTATTATGCAGCTAATTAGAATATATTTTGGAAGTAAACATCACAATATTGTTGGCAGTATGCAATATTGTTATGAATGTCCCTGTCTGTCTGGCCACTAGCAAATTTTAACATGGAACATTAAACCAGAAGAAACACCTCTGTGCTGCTGAGGACCACGTCTCTGTCCTTCTTCTTTTCTTCTACCTCTCCTGCCTCTTAAAAGGGAAAGTCATAAACGCTTTCGAAAGTACAGCTGCAGGAAGCAAGGGAAGTGTTTCAGTGGCTTAAAAACACCATGTGCATCATGTAGAATAATCTATTTATCTCGCCGTCTATCTATGTTGAAAGCGTGCCACTGGGCCAATGGCACGTGGCTGTAAACGGTACTCCATCCCATTTACGTTTTTTGCGCGTGCTTTATGCTGATGAGAATATCACATTGAAAAAATTACAAGAGAATCTAATGGTTCATATTTCCCGTTAACAAAACAAGTGTGACTTTTTATAAATGGCTTGATAATTCCTAACAAATCTATATTTACACAGCGGTTTTGGTGATTACCCATCATTCCAGCGTCAGCCTCTTTCAGACAATAACTTGAAAACTAAAGCAGTTGGAAGTTGGAAAACGGTGGGTGGGACATTTCTAAGGCAGGAACAGTCTGCCAGACCTCAACGTGCAAGTATCCTCTCACAGGGGTTTAAATACTTCTGGAATTCACTCTGATGTTCAAAGTATTATGTGGTTTCCTTGCTGTTTCAGACGAATATTGGTTATGTTCCTTGCCAAGTTGGTGCACTGGAGATTCTGGATATTGCCAATAAGTAAGAAGGGAACCAGCTGGGGTCCCGAGCTGGTTTTCTTGATGAAATAAGTGGAATTGGTGGAGGTAACACTTCCCACAGCAGGTCTGAGCTATATGCATTCTTTTAATGAGCTGAGATAGTTTGTAGAAAACTACTGAAATTTAAACCATTTGCTCTTGGTAGGAGTATTTCCCTTGCTTAGTTCTCATTTATAATCATTCATATTTCTCTACCTTTTTATACTGAGCTGGACTACTGTCTTTTCAGGCACTTTTTTAAAGAGACAAACCCTGGTGCAGGATTTGCTATTAAACAAGCTGCCACTGGAGTCACACACGTATTTAGGCTTGATTACAGATTTAACAGAATATGAACCCACAAAGTAGGCAAAATTTCGCAGTCAAAGTGCTGATCCTGTTTGAACGAATTTCAAAAGGGTGTCCCAAATGACTTCTCACTTATTATTAGTAGTGTTGTAATTTAACTATATACTAGTGTTGTAATTTGATATATATAAAACATTGTAACTTACTAGTATAGTGTGTTTAAAAAACAGTTATTTGGAATGTCAAAAACATTATAGTAAAGTTTGTAAAAAATAGTCAGAGACTTTATACTATTTTATTTAGTGTGTTGAAAATAGTCATTGCCTTGTGGGTAGTAGTCCTTAAAAATTCCTAATATAGCATGTCCAACTAAGTCATAAAAAATCAGTATCAAGGTACAAAACACTTACACTCAAGAGGATTGCTGCAGACAAGGGTCATTTATATAGACAGTAGTTATTTAATAAAATGTTGTGTCATTTTGTTGCCAGTCCTCTCTCTCTCTCTCTCTCTCTCTCTCTCTCTCTCCTGCACACACCAATACGCTGTTTGCATAATTACATCCCTCAAGGGGCAGTTCAGGATATTGTGTTTTTCCTGTGATCTCCTCAAATGAAGCCATCCATCTCCCGTGTGACTACATGTCGTGAGACACATTTGGCCTCCTGAATATTTATTAATAATGCGTATTTGAGATTTATTGTTTCATGTAGACTGTTGAGTGACCAATACATTCAAATCCATAGCATATCTGTTATTTCATCTGTAAATGTTTCAGTTTTCTTTCCTTCCTTCTATCGCATGACTTTTTTGACATTATTGGGGGGGGGGGGGGGGTAAAAATATTCCACTTAATGTTTGGTGAGCTTAGGGGTCAGTCATAAAATATGTAAATTAGGTTAAGTGTGAGTTCATGTATTTGTCTATGTATGTCTGGGTAACATCAAAGAATACAATACAATACATGTGTGGTGTTCTTCACCAGGATAGCTGTGGAACCTCCCTCTTCATCATCAGACTCGGCGTCATTTAACAGACAATATGTGTCCTATAAGAAAGCAGGAAGCACTAACTTAAACGGGTAATTACCTCTTTATCATCCACTGACATGTATGCCAACAGCTAAACACGGCTACACACACACACAGATGCCCAAATGCATTACTTTGCTGACTGACTCCTCGTCTCTTATTTGTATCTGAAACGAGTGCCTGATCCGGTTGGTTTGGCTCATAATATGTTCCTGTGTCCGTTTCTGTGATCATCAGTAGATAAAAAAACTAAAAACAATTACCACATAATTATCATCTCATCACTATAGCAGGATATTGCTTAAACATAAGTGGTCTAAATCCACAATGTTGCCCTGAGGCCACAACAAATGAAATATGTGGCAGGATGCATATAATTATGCGGTATTATTGGAACATCAATAATGTTATATTACATTACACTATTTACTCTCTTTATCCTGGTTATTTACTTATTGTATCTTGTTTGCTGAATCTGACATGGCACATTTCTAAAAGCCGCAAAAAAAAAAAGTATAACAAATTTAAGACGAGAAAAGTGGTGTTCTCGCTGGTCCTGCAAAATCTGTTTGGCCAATGAGAGATGATATCTCTAGGTTAACTGAGTCCATACAGATTATATAAACTGGAAAAGCAATTAAAGTGGCTTTCCAAGTTTGGCGTCCAATTGCGCTGTTAGGTCATATCCACCGGGCAACAATTAGTTGTCACCCAGCATTACAGTGTGTTCTCTCCACCAGTCACCATGTCCCTGTTAGCTGTCCCTGTTCACTGCTTCACAGAGGCCTCTGCAGCCTGCGGGCTGCAGCCATGTGTTCCGCGCTCGGATGGCACCATCATTTACCATAAAAGAGATTATCCAGCGAGTCAAACTGCTCTTTCATCCCTTCCACGTCCGTGTGTGTGCGTGCAGCCATTCCTCCCATAAATTACATTTGTATACAACAATTCGCCATTGAAAATGTTTGATTTTCAGTCCCGGAGCAGGCATTCAATGAGACGTTCTTAGAGTCTGTAAAGATCGGGCTGGACGTCTACTCTCTGAGTTTGCTTTATACTCTCAATGTTCTGACACAATCTGTAAATTATCAGCAAATACCTTTTCACATGAAAAACATATTTGTAATGTAAGATGTGATGCATAATAATGCAGTTTAGACATTACTTAAACAGTGCAACTGGAGGCTAAATCACATCTCTCATTGGCTGTTGTTTTGTGAATAAGGAAAACAAAAAAATCTGAGCAAACCTCCCGAGTCATTGTGTTAGTGTAAGTGTATGCAAAAATGCTAATGTCCCTTTCACAAGGCATATCTTTTAACCTCTACCAGGTAATGTTATGCATTTTATTTGAACAAATATTGCATTTATTTAAGTTCAAAGACAAAAAAAGGCTGAAATAATTTTCACAAACATTTTTGCCCACTTTAGCATGAGTTGTGCATTTTCTTATCATATAGACAAAAGGTATGGGGACAAATTTAATCAAATAAAGTAAACAGTTTTGTTATAGTGACGTCATCCAACAAATACATATTCATGATCAGAGCATCATCCATGTTTTGTGTGTTGCATGTTTGCACTTAATAGTAAACTTAATCAAAAGTGAAAAAAAATAATAATTGGAATTGGATGTAAGAATCCTCTCCTGAATCAATAGAAATGTTATTTCGGGAACAACTAATCAAGTACCATTTAATCCGATATTTACTAGGCCAACCAATTACCTTGGGGAACATTAATCAGAGAACATTTATAAACACGTGTTTTTTAATTACAAAATGGAAGAACAGCCCGTCCTTATTTGGTAAAAGCACTGCTAAGTGTGCCAGAAATCTGAACTCTAATTGTAAATGGCACGAAAAGAAAAATGCCTGCTCGGCTCTGGCAGTGAGCAACTTGATGAATCCAGCTGGGAAGTGGGGATGACAATCACCAGTCAGCTCAATGGGGGGAGGGGTTGTTTGCTGCAGGGTCTGGAGGTTCGGGCTTCCTAGCTCGCTAACATTTGTCAGATTTGAATTCTCCGGAACCCGGTCGGGAAGGACTGCTGGATGTGCAAAGTTATGATCCGACTCAAACCCTAAAATACTTCTTTAGAACCATGTGGGAAATAAGATTATGAGGCTTCAACACACTAACTAAACATTTTGCTAAAATGAAAGGAAGTTACATAATGCTACAGAAATTATTTCAGTTATGACAGGATGAAATTCAGCAATTTCCGCAACTGCTTTGTATTTCTGGACAGGCTGCATTGACTGCACAATGTTCAGTTCCACAATATGGTGTCACACATACTGACAGACAAAACAAGAGATACATTTGATTTGTGTAAACTGTAAATTTTTTGCAGTTTGAATAGGTTTTTTCTTAAAGTTGTTTAAATGATCAAAAATGCTAAGAAAACACACTTTGAGCAATTGCATTACTTGTTGTTTTGTGACAGTTATCAGAAAGGCAGAGTGCAGTTTCAGGTAAAATAAGCATTCTTAAAGGGTAAAAAAATTAAGGCGTTTTTTAGTCACGCAGAAAATGTCAAACCCTTTTTCTTCTCATCGTCAATTTGTCTATGTTTTGCTCTATGGACAAGGCAAGGAGCAAAACTAGCACACCAAATAGACCTTTAGAACTCAAAATAAGGTCTTCTGATTGGCCATCTGAGAACAGAGAGTAAGGAACTTGTCAACGATCGGTCTACACAGGGCAACAGTGAACCCTAATCGATTGGCAGTTATGAGAAGAAACCAATAAGAGGCTGCAGGAAGAGGCCCACGGTTCCCAGGATGCACACTGTCACAAACACCCAAAGGAAGATCCGATCAATCACCATGGCAACATACTTCCAGTCATCCTCCACCTGCGAGCAAAGGTGGGGAGAAAACATCAGGCGTGAGTGTGTCAGCGATGACATATGAATGATGAAAATGAAGGAGAAGTTGTTGTTGTTTTTTGGTTTAAGCACGTGAGGATGATGAGAGGACACATGTGATTTACAGGGGATTGGTTTGTCAGAGGTGAGGATTACAAAAAAAGAGAAAGGAAATAGCGAAATACCCAAAGAAAAAACGGCCAAACGCTTTTTGCAAGCCAACAGAAAAAAAAAACATAATTTACAGAGGAGAAAATATCTATGATAATCACAATACAACCCTAACGTTTAAAGAACTGGCTGCTTCTACACATTGTGAGATTTTACCCACTGTATTTATAAGATAGCAAGAGAGAGAGAGAAGGGAGAGCTCTCAATTCACATCAAAATGACATCAACATTTATTTGGTTCTAATTTACACTATTATTAACTAGCAGGTTAAGATCTGCAACAATGCAACACAGAATCAAAGTAAACATCTTGCGTGCCAGTACTGTTTAGCGTGGTTTTGCATGAATACATCATGCATCGACATACTTGATGTCTTTTTGCTTCCTATGAGCGGCTGTAGTTTATTATAAGTATATAAACACTGGAATATTATATTTCTTATGTGACTTGACCCAAAAGTTACCTTCACTAATATGGTAAAGCTCAAAATAGCCAAATTTAGTTTGCAAAAATTGTGAATAATGAGCATGTTATTGTTGTCGGTGTTAAATTGAACACATACAATACCATAACTAGGGTTTGTCTTCATGGTAGCACAGAATGGAGTCTCTTTTGTGTGATGGCTTCGGGTGCCCCTTGGGGAGCTTGTGCCTCTCATGATTGTGATTCCCTACAACTTGGGTCGTATTTTTCATATTTCAGCCAACTACCATTACATTAAAGTCTGATGGGCGAAGTATACATAAGCAAACAAGGCTGTCATTTGAACAGCAGTGGTTTATTTATCTTATTCAACATTGACATTCTGAATAATGTAATAGAATCAAAATACGAACTACTCACTTCTTTGGCCTTGTTGCGACTCCTCATGTTCTCAGCGATGTACTTGACGCTCTCGATTGCCTGTTTAATCTCAGGTGACACCACAGAAAAAGCCACCACGGTGTTAATGCTCTGGTGACTCAGCTGACGTGTTATCTTCCCCAAGTCTGGTGTTTCTGGAGTCTCCTTCCCATGCTGACAGGGACAAGGGCATTTCTTACCGGTGCAACCCTCCGCGGAAGAAAACTTACTGTCCCCGAACTCCAGGCAGTTGAGAGAGCCTCCTCTGACCTGTTGGGAATCACAAACAGAGTTTGGATTAAGTTTCACTGCTTTAACTCCAAGTTGACATTCTGGGGTAATTATTTCTTTGGGATCTCTGGGATGTACCAACAATTGCAACACTAACACAAGGTAAAGTATATATTTTTATTTTCCAGTGTTTCAGGGGTTGAAAGGCTTTGTTTAAATTATAGTGCTTCCTCTTAGCTTTCAATGTATGTTCATTGTGACTCAATAATAGCGCTCCCTTTTTTTCCGCAAGAGACAACTCTTTAAAAGTATTTTGTGCAGGAAGTAACAAGTAATGGGTTTTTAGAAGAGCTCTTGAAGATGAGTGACGGTTGTATGGTGTGACAAGCAAGCCATGGAAGAGTTAGAAACACAGTCTGTTGGTTGAGGGTTGGACATTCACATGGGTCAGACACACTTGAATGAATGAATTAGCCTCCTAAACTTTCTGCTGTAGAACAGGTTCTGACATACATTTCACAGCCTAAGAGCCCAAGTGGACTAGATGATTTGGGATGCGGATGCCTTACCTGCATTAAGCTATTCTTTTGTCTCTTCCCTCCTTTCCCTCCTCCTCCGCCTCCTCCTCCCCCTCCGGCTCCTCCTGACTCCCTACTGATATCCAACCCTCCAGGCTTGCTGTCGTCATCAATTGGTCTCCGCATCAGCATAATCTTCGGCAGCACTTTGAGAAACACCGAGCGCACCCAATCGGGCATGGTGTGGGTCATTGGCGTGCGGTAGTGCACGTTCAGCACGAACACGGTGATGACGATGCTAAGTGTGACGAAGATCATTGTAAAGAGCAGGTACTCTCCAATGAGCGGGATGACCAGCGAAGTGGAGGGGATTGTCTCGGTTATAACGAGCAGGAACACAGTGAGGGAGAGCAGGACGGAGATACAGAGCGTGACCTTCTCTCCACAGTCGGATGGGAGATAGAAAACCAGCACTGTGAGGAAAGAGATGAGGAGGCAGGGGATGATGAGGTTAATGGTGTAAAAGAGGGGCAGCCGCCGGATGTAGAAGGAGTAGGTGATGTCTGGGTAGATCTCCTCACAGCAGTTGTACTTGATATCGTGCTTGTAGCCAGGAGCGTCAATGATTTCCCACTCTCCGCTCTCCCAGAAGTCTTTCAGATTCACCTGGAGGTTAAATTCCAATCATGCAGGGATTTAACACAGGATAAAACATTCACAATCTGCTTACAAATTGTAAAGTTCCTTTTTCAGACAGTACAATACATATTTGGCTCATGGATTGTGGATTTACAGTTTTTGTCCTGTAATTGAATATGGATTTGTTGGAATGTGCAAAACAAATTGAAAGAGATTTTCACCTGAGCTCTAGGTCCACATGCAAACAAAATAGTGTTGCCAACGGAGTCACAGCACTTAATATAGTTTGTACTGGATTAGTAACAAGAAACATGCCAGCGTGGTTAACAGAACGTCATCATATGTCCACTTCATTCAAACTCCTTGTTCCTAGTTTATGACGCAGGTAACCCTAATAATGCCACCATGATCTTTAGAGTGAATGCATGTAGCATCTATATGGATGAGAGTAGGCGATACTTTTCTTGCAGGTAGTTACGCCAGACTTGGACACGGTCACCAACACTGACCTTAGACCCAATAAGTACAAGGTCAATCTTGGCTTTATCATAAGTCCAGGAGCCGAACTTCATGGAGCAGTTCTGATAGTCAAAGGGGAAGTAGGTGATGTCCATGGGGCAGGAGGATTTAAAAATAGCTGGAGGAACCCAGGTGATGGTGCCATCAAACTTCAGGAGAGCCTTGGTCTTATCTTCCACGAGGAAATCACCTACAGCGCTGAACATGATGTGTGAGTAATAAAGCAGAAGTAGTCCCATGGCAGGGAGGATACGAGGAGACATGATACAGGCATATGTGGGTTTTGGTTAAGACACAAAGGTTTGAGGGGGGCAGAGATGTCGAACAATGGGAGGAAAGGTGAGGAGAAAATGAAAGCGAGAAACACGGAAGGGGGAGAAGATAAACAGTGAGGTTATGGTGGTAATAAAGCATTTATAGGATAAAGACACTGATGCTCTATTATGAAATACAACAAATTCCTTTCATTAACATCACAGGTAGCAAGATTCTTAACAAAATTTTAACGGACGTCTCTTTAGCTGCTAAATGCTCCACTATGTTCGCCGGCTCGTCCGCTGCTGCTGGAAAACATGTTTCATTAAAGCATTGAGGTGGTTTTCCTTGAAACCAAAAGCATAAGCTGAAAGAAGCTAAAACACCCCATAGAGCTGAGGGCAACTGCAGAGTTGGTAGAAGATTATTTGCAGTTGAAGCTAAACAGCGCGCTAATGATAATGATGGAGAGTCTCACTTGTTGTAGAGCACAATGTCGGGTCTCCAGATCTTGTTTGAAGGAACTCTAATGAACTCGATCCCGTCAAACTCCACCGGCATCCATCGCAGCTTGTAGTCGTTCCAAACCTTCCAAAGAGGAGGAAAACACTGAGAACCTGTTGGGGAGCCAGCCAGCCACGCGTGTTGTGTTTGCACTGTACACTGCACACAGTACTATTCCCTCCATGGGAATATTTTGAAATGCATAGTCAGAACCTTTGATGTATTGTTGTGGCGGTTCCAAAAAAAACATAGCAAAAAAAGGTCCGTTGACAGGAATGTGAGTGTTAGTTCAAAGAAAATTGAGCAAATTGTACTTGTTTGATGCATTTCCTCGTAGGTAAAGAACCACAACCGCAAGGAATTAACTAGAATACATCTGAATAAAAAGCAGTCCAATGAGCAGCAATCAAAGAAGCATATGCATAAATAGCTTACTGATGACTGCATCGGATCCAACATACCTGCGGGTAACATCGCATGAGCCGTAGATCCATTAGTCTTGGCTATTTGGATTGCATTCAAGACGAATGAACTCATTAGCAAGGGGAATTAATATTCTGTTATGATCTAAGAGCTGTTTAATTAACCACTTCATGCTTCAGTGGCTTTTTCCTTTATTTATCATGGGAGTTTACGATATGATTGGTTGGAGATGTTATTCCTGATAGGTTGAAGTTTATGGCTTATTGTCACAAAAATAAATTATTCTACATTTACTCTCGTTCTCGTTATATGAAAAGCAGGTAATTTTTGTTAAATGTAACAATAATTACCTGGAACTTAAAGTGAGTTTTTCACAAATTAATAAATTCAAACAAAATAGTTGGGGGAAGGAAACTAAATTAGTATTAGTTTTAGATTAATCAAAAAGGAAGTCTCAACCTGAAATTCATACGCAATTAAATACATAAAAAAGATCAAACTTGTATCCCTTTCATAAAAGTAGTCAATGGAGCTTGGTTCTAAGGTGCAATGACAGTGAACACATTTAGAAACACGGTACGTTGTAACAGAAGGAATCCCCTGCCGTGCCAAAGCCAAACAGATGCAATGCACCAAGGGGGGGCTGTCTGAAATGTCACTAAAACACTAAACGCAACGGAGTCAAAATCTTTTTTAGTGACTGTGGTGTTTGCACAGCTTCTCATTAGTGATGCCTTGAAATAAATAAACAGCTCAGCCATTACCAATGAGATCAGCAATTTCGATGCATCTTAATTCGAAAGTTTAGCAATCCCAATATAATCCAGATATAATTTATAAAACTGCTGTTTTGCTTCAATTAGTCACTGATTTGAAAAATAAATGTCCATAATGCTGATGGTAAATTACAGTCTAAATTATATGGGGCCTACAGTATATTTCAAAAAATAAATTCAGATTTAATACAGGTAAAGGAAAGAAATGACAACTTAAAGGTATCAGGCTTTGGACCACAGAGACAGAGGTATTTGAGAGACTAGCGAGCTGTGGGAGGTCAAGAGGTCAGGGATCTGCTGAGGGACCCGACGTGACAAACCATGATGCTGACACTGATCCCCTGCTGATCGCATTCAAGTGTGTATATCTGACACATCTTTGTTTTCTGGTTCACTTCTCTCATGTTTTATATTTCTTTTTCTGTGTTTTAATATTTCAGTGATGTATCACATTCAAACACACACACACACACACACACATATATTGAGTTTGCTTTATATGTATAGGTAAGTGATGACATAACCCTCCTCAGTCTTTCCTTTCCTCTGACTCTATAGAAATGGGGTTATGTCAGGTGTGTGTACTTACATGTCTGAGCCATAGATTTGTTTCCATGATCTGATTCACCTCATCCTGCAAAGACAAAGAGAAGGAAGATGGCTTGTTAAAATGTAGGAAATGCACTGTGTGATACACACACGTGTGCGGGTGTGTGTTTATGTGTGTGTGGGTTGGTACATCAGCCGAAGTAACTGTGTAACAAAGTAAGTAACAAACGTCTTTGAATGTGGAGTTTTCAAAGAAGACAAAAGACTATAGCTAAAACTATAGCTAGGAAAACATCATTCACAAAATGTTCAAAAACAGATGGAATTTGTCCTTTTAACTTTGTCCTCTGATGATTGACGGAACAGGTTGACTTTGAGTAAGTTAATAATAGATGGAGAGGTTACAGATGTCACTTCATCTCCACCTCCTTCTGGAGCCGGAGTTCAGTTGATTTGCAGTCCTTTGATTCTCAGTATTCCGCATAAACCAGATAAAGAATATATACAGCTACCAACACAGGGTAAAGCAGATAGGTGATTTCTTTTTGCGCACAGACACAAACTCACCCGTTAGATTAAGCTCACCTTCCCGAGCAAGCCGATTTAGCTATATATCAGTCCTGTCTGAAAAAAAGGTTTCTGCAGGCAATTTTCCCTTAATCTGAGGATTTCCATTTTGAGCTGAAAACCTATTTTCACCGGGGGATGTGCAGCAAACCCCTCCACCACTGACAACCCTCCCCCAACGCTTCAAACTTAACATCGCAAAAGCAAAACAGCAGTGTACAACAACACCGTGTGACATTCTCACAATCTGTGAAATTGAACCGACTAAATAAAGACTGCATTCACTTTCTGCTTTCAGTTCTCTCGTTCTGGAGCTTATCTTTTGCCTTTTCTTTATCAAAGCTATGAAATATGATCGAGACGCTCATTGGAAGACATCTCGCAGCTCAAACATACACTATAGGCAGGTCGCTATTAGTGAAACAACATTTAAGTGACACAGTTTGCTCATACAGCTATGAAACAAATGACAAAAACAAACAAGAAATGTGGGAAATGAAGAAGCCACGATGCTTAAAACCCCTTTTGACGTCATATTAAACTGAGGATTTTGTTATGATTAGAACACCTACTCCTGTGTGCGTTTGTGTGTCGCTTACCACTTTGACCAACTGCGAGATGGAGACCTCAAATTCCACCGTGACAGGGTCAGAGACGTTCTCCACCGGCCTGATGAACTGGTTGTATCTTCTGAACAGCTTCCTGAAGAGTCGGTCCTCTGCCTTGGATGAGCAGCAGTCTGGAGGGACGGAAACAGCGAGGAGACAAAGAGAGAGAGAGGAGCAGACGGAGAGGTCAGTGACTGGACAAGGGGCCGTGAAGAAGAGGAGAGGATAGACACTGAGAAGAGGAAACGATGCTGAATCCAGTTGTCTCTGAGAAGTCACAAGGTTTCTGGGTAATAAAGACAGTGCGAAGAAGAGACTCTTCTCAGGTCTTTTAAGTTGCTACATGAAAATGTAATGATATTTTAAGTCTGTGACATGAGCTCACTTTTGGGGGTTTTCTAATCGAGTCACAACATTCATAACTGTTAAGTAAGGAAGCACAAAGCAGACATGCCCACTTTGAATAGTATGACATCACATATGATGTTTTCATATCTATGTTATGATTGCATTGGTTCACTCATAAATAGTATAAATCATGGAAACCATCGTAACCAACCAGAATGGACCAGTTGATTGACCGCCGTTGTAATTTATGTATGACTTTAAAAGCGCCAGCAGCAATGCTTTTTTCAGGAGGAGTCATGTGCAGGTGGTTTGCAACATCTGAATTTCCTTCAAGCTCACAAAAGCTCTCAATAGAAATAAATATCAGTTGAGGGTTTTTATTCTGTATTAGATTCATGACAGCGTATCTTAGCTTAGGTATATGTTTGATTGCGGCTTAAATGTTTTACAGACAACCAAAATACTTATTCACTAATCATCCAGGAAGGAGCCTGAAGGGCCTGAAGCACAATATCAGAATGTCTACTTTGTGGAAAATGCACGGCAAGCTATTTTAACTTGCTGCAGAGGAGTTGAAGACTGTAGCCCGAGGACAGGAGATGAAGGGCTGGAAGTTCTATTTTTTTTTCAGCCTCGTTGAGGAAGCGAGTTGAGCTGCTGCTTATGTTCCGTGCTTTATTTTCTTTTCAAGAATATATTGAGTGATGCATTAAACTCTCGCTAATGAAATAATGTGAATCAATGTTTTCAAATACCAAAATGTAACCAAAATTGAGCAATCATCAAAAGTAAATTATTTAAAGTAATAACCCTTAAGATTATCAAACTATTTTCTCTAAACTATAAATGGTTAGCCTTTTGTCATCAATTCAGTATATTTACATTCATTATTTATCTCTTTAAAGGGTTGTATTTCATTTTATGCTGCGTAGTCTGCCAGAATCATAATGATCTTCATCGTAGTCCCATGGCACTGGGAGATTTACAGAAAATGGTGTTACAGTTTAAAATTCTCATTCAAATCAGCCTTAATTTTTCACTTTAACAATTCTTCGTATTAGAAACATTTAATATGGCTTTTATTGCAAAAAAGCCGCAGGAAACTCAATGCATTTGTCACGGCAGTTTGTGACAACTGCAATTGTTAATGCGTTTATGAGACAAAACTACTACCATTTTACGGATATTTCTGACAGCAGGTCAGTTTTTAAATATGAAATGAAACAGTAGCAAAACTATTGTTTTAGATTCTAAGATCTGGTTATTAAAAGCCGGGCTTGATTAATCCTGGGATCTTTATTTGAAACCAGCCCTCAACCGCAGTAGAGACGGATCATGCAAAAAAGACAAATATGGCAATAAACAAAGACAAAGGAATATTGGGAGTAGTAAGACAAAGACAAACTCAAGGAGTTTGCCTTGAGGTGCTTCTGTAGTTTCCCTTGGAACACTTTTTCAATGTACCCTCATTTGACTAAAACCATCCAAACAGAGTTTGGGATAGATGAGAAAAACAGCTTAATTAAAATGGACTTCTTTGGAGAACCCTTTGAAATCCTGAGGAAACAGCGCCGACCGTATTACACCAAGATCTTTTACTCAAAGGGGAGAGATAAGCCTGCTCATGCAGACGACAATGACCCCAGAAAGCCAGTTGGTCCTGAACTCCTGGTGACGGCCCTCTAGAGAGCAAAGGGAAATAGGAAAACCCCAAGACCAGGGGAGAAGAAGAGAGGAGATTGAAAGAGCAAAGACGTCTTTAGATGTCACTTAGAAGATTAGTAATCGCCTAGCGTCTGCAAATGCTGTGCTAAATAGAGTTTAGAAGAAGGATGCATCTAATCCATGACCGGTGGAAAAAAAAAAAATTACAAAAATGTACAAAAACGCAAAAAAAAAAGACAAGAATTGAAGAGAAATAAGAAAGGACGGATGGAAAAGAGGATAAAAGTGGAGAAGCGGTGAAATAAAAAGAACTAAAATGGACGTGTACAGTGTTAGAGTGACTCTGCTACACACCAACGACTAAAATAACTCTTTGATCAAAACAGGATCCAACACACACACATTTAACATGGTCAGATACATTTCATGTTGAGAATCATAAAAGAACCAATTATGAAAAAAATGAGCAAGAGATTTTATCCGCTGTCATCTGGATTTGTCACACTCCTTTTCTTACTAATCAACCAATCTTGTTCGACAATTTTCCCTGGCTGCTTTTCATGAAACAAAGTAGAACACAAAGGACAAATGGATGAAAATGATATGTTCTGATAGATAGATAGATAGATAGATAGATAGATAGATAGATAGATAGATAGATAGAAAGATAGATGTAGGCGTATATACGGTGGAATATGTCTAAAATGAAAGAAAGAAAACAAACATTTACAAATGTGAAATATGTAAATTATTATTATTATTTTAAAAATGCATCTTACACTCCCAAATAAATAAGATTTATGCCAAAGACGCACATTGGAACTTCCAATCACCTGGTCATATTGACACAGAAGGAATAGGAATTCCTTTACCATCTGCGGTGTTGAGATGGAATTTGTCTATATGAGCTGTTCAAATATTACGCCCCTTCTGAAAAGGTTTCTAACAGACACCCCAAAATGTACCTTTCCAACTGGACACCTTTAAAAGAAGAAAATGGGACAAGAATAAGTGAGCTGCAGCGGATGATAGAAGGAAGGAGAGCAGAGTTGTGAGGTCAGCGTGAACTCAGCAGCATGTACAGTTAATGTGCTCAAATGTAAGAGCATGAATTATTTAACTAGCTATGCAGAATCTCTCAAACATTTTTTCAATGTTTTTTTTCTTTTACTAAACTGTAAATCCCATGAGAGGGTCAACAAGAGGGTTGGAGGTCGACCTAAAAGAGGGAGACGATGATGAGGAGTGAGTGTGAGGTGAAGGAAGAGGGGGAAAGGGGAACGTGTGAAGGAGGGATAATAAGTGATGGAGAGGAAGAGACCGTTTTATGGGCTGTTTGAGAGGATACTTTTAGAGAGCCATTTAGCTTTCAGTCTCCCGTGAGCGTGCAAATGCTTTTAAAGGAGAGTGAGAGCGAGACGAAGGGAGAGCAGGCGGGGGGGTGTTACTTTAATATCTTTATCATGCACAATGTTTCCATGGTAGATACTGTATAAAGAAGTAAATGCTTTGCTGTGAGCTAAAATGCTCTGCTTTTATTGTTTGTTATCCTTCAGTTGGTGCTGAGGGGGAGAGGAGGAAGGATAGCGGAGCAGGAACGGACCCACCGGACACACACTGCGCTGCGTGGTCACACGCTCGTCTCCATTGCAAGCACAGTGTCAAAACCTCGCAGACCACTTCCCTTCATTTTCCTTTCTCATTCTTCAATTCTGTCTTTTTTCAGCAGATAGGCTCTAATGTGGGTCTAATACTGTGCTATTGAAGGCCTGATGACATTCACAGAAGACCGCACACGTATCAGTGCCCTGACACATTTTCATGCCGAGAGAAACTGAACTTTTTTCACCTTGAAAATGAGCAGATACAATAGAAATTGCACATCTTTCGCTCAAGGCGCGTTACCCCAAAAGTGGGTTAGAATGAATTAGAATATGTTTCATGTAAGAGATTCATTCAGCCTTTGTAGTGCAATATCTCAAAAGGGATTGGCTCATTTAGAAATATATGAATGTGTTTTTGAGGTTTTTGTGGGTAAATGAAGTGAAGTGGCCCTATTTGGGATTGAGGAAATGTTACTTATCCTTCAGAGAAGCCAGGGCGCGATAACTTGGACATCAAAAACACGTCCTCTTTGGGATGGTATTATTATTATTTCCACAAATATACTACTATGAAAAGCTTTTAAAGTGAAACGTGTTGGCATTTTTGTGGGATGTATATTATATATACTATCAACTGGTGATTAAAATTGATACGAACATTTAAAAAAGAAAGGCTGCGAGGCTTTATGCGTAAGATGGTGGAATGTGGTGAGATGTGGGTTCATGGAGAAAGGCGGAGGACACAGCGTCGTGGAGTGAACACTGCAGTGTGAGGTGTTCTCGACACGTTTACCAGTGACTCAGTTGGGCCTTAACCACAAACCCCCTCTGCTCTGTGTTGTGCTCTATAAATGTGACTGTGATATAAGCCTTGTTACCACGCGTTCACTGACTGGATCATCAGTCATGCATTCAAATACATTAAGAGAGCGGCTTCTTTTTAAAGAGGAGACAGAAACATGAAAATACCTTCAAGCTGAGGTAGCGTATTAATAGTAGTACATTTTGCAACCCACTGAAGAGGAAAAATATTGAATTTATGTACATTATGTTAATTATGTGTTCATTTTTAGGTACTAAGGACCTTTATATATAAATATCAGTGTAGGTTTGTATATGAGACTACAATTTTTAGCTGACGGTATGGTCATATAAGACCTTTGTTTGTCAACATTTCCCAAGATGCAGCCCTACAAACAACTGGGATGTGAGTGTTTTGATGTGGGTAATTGATGAATGTTGATTATATTGATGGTAAAGTGTAACCAGTCGGTCCGAGAGGCACTGAAGTTACAGTATGGTCTGCTAGTTTTATTTAGATGGTACAAGAAATGGTGATTTTATACTTTCCTACAGAAAGCACCGTTGGTTCACAGAACGGACGTTGAAAATATGTTTGTATAAATAGATACATGTTAATCACGAACATTAAATTAAAAAGAAATGCCTCCGTATTATGTTGATGTGTTGCCCGCACAAAAAGTATTCATTGTTATATTGAGTTACTTATTTTGTGATTGTGGAAAAACCTGTTAAAAGTGAATTGAGATTTATGGGCATTTCAACATTTTTCTTAAATTTGCGGATGTGTGAAATGATTTTTGTTAAAAATCTGTATTTAAATATTCTGAATTGTAAGTGTTCTCAAATTCTTAAGTGCATGGTGTCAGATTTGCACATTTGTACAAATGAGTACATACATTGATAATGATGTGAAACAATTGTTTACTATTTATAGAGATTTGTAAATTTGACTTTGACAAAATGTCAAATTTGTCACACAAAAAGATCCTCACGTCAGAGTAAATGTCACAAAGCTTTCCTGACTGCTGGCTAACGTTATTCCAGATGCCCAAATACCAGTAACCTCTGCCGTTTGGATGGAATTACTTCATTCCCAGAAGTCCCATTAGCCCTAGCTGTGACTGTCCAACATGGAGATTCAGGTTCACAACTTTCCACAAACCTTTACAAATGAGTTCATTACAAACCTGGCTTTGTACATCTGGATCAAGAGCGTCAGGGACACACATACACTAACACACATACACACACTGTCACCCCTCAGCCAAGACGCTCGTGCATGGAATGAAATATATGCCTGGCGCCTGATAAACCATAAAAGAGCCTATCTGCTGCCTTCCATAAATCAGATAGCCGATATTTATGCCTTCGGGGCAAATGTTTATGTTACTGCTTTGAAATGCCGCTGCGTAATCAGCTTCTCTGCATCTATTCCCTGGAGTGGCTCCAGGTCACATCCAGGCTCTCTGGGCACTGATTAAGTCTGGGTGCATTTCAGTAATACCACCCCTCCCCTCCACATAAGGCGCGTGGGATGGGGGGGGTTGATAATATTGAAGAAAAAAAATATATATATATATATATATATATATATATATATATATATATATATATATATATATATATATATATATATATATATATATATAATATGAAATCCATAGAGGCACGTGACAATGAGGAAGGTTTTTATCAACCCCCTGCAGACGGCCAATCTCCCCCGCCTGAAACCCTCCGCGCTGCACTGTGTCTGCACAGCACAGTGTGGGCACAGGCCCTGTACTCTCTCTCTCTCTCTCCCTCTCTCTCTCTCTCTCTCTCTCTCTCTCTCTCTCTCTCTCTCTCTCTCTCCCTCCCTCCCTCACAAACAGCAAACAGGAAAGCGGATCCTGTAAACAAATTCTAATCTGTTTTGGTTTCCTTAAATAACTACTCGTGCCTCAAAACGCAATTTGCAATCGTCAAAATGCACCTCCAGCATTCTTCCGCATTTCATTTTGTTGGCCTAGTTAACGAGGAGCCAGTGAGCAGGACGACAGAGATCACAAATTATAATTTGAAGTCTCTTTCTCGCGGCTGGAGTTAAGACGCTTGGCGTGCAGGTTGTTGAACACTTTTGACGATGTTTTCGTAATTTTCTAAATTATAGCAAAACTGAAATAAGTAAAGAATCGACTACCGATCTGATGCCACAGGAACTTCTTTCAGAAACTCAAAAACGTTGTTGCTGACTTTTCACAGCTGGATTATTAAAACAAAGTTATCAGATTAAACGTCTAGTCACTGCAGCACACATGTACAGCGCCTATTATTTTGCACCAGAGCAATCTGAAATAAATACGCACCGAAAGCATCCGAACTACATTAGACATAGAAAATAACGCAGCTTGCACTTTACCTTGCGCCATCATACCCACGAGAAGAAGACGCAAAGTCCATCCCGCCGCCGGCCGCATCTCCCCTGCGTCGTTTAAGGATCCTCTTTACTTTTTTCTTTCTTCTGGAGAAACTCTGTCTGTCCAATCGACGAGTGGAACAAATAACGCGCAATGGCACGAAAACGCGCGTCTCTCCCCTGGTGCCGTCTGTCTCGCTCTGCCGGTGCGCTCCTTCCGTCCTGATCTGATCCGAACTTGACTTGGTTTGTCCCTCCCCTATGAGGGCGAAGCTCCCCTCTGGCGCATCCACGCGGACCCCACGCGGCGAGGAAAGAGCCGCCCTGACTCGCTCCGAGGGATTAAAAGGTGTAATTGGAGTGCGCTGTTGGGAGGAAGAGATGATGTATCCGCAGACGCAATATGGATTGAGCCTTTATTATGTTTGGGACTGGTGTCTATAGGAAGCTAAAGGGCGGCATAGTTTCCTGTAGGTCTGAAGATCAAGTGAAATACCCTCAACTCACACTGTTCAAATAGCCCGTTCGATTGTTTGTGTCTGAGCCATAAAAAGAGCAGTGCATATAAAACGCCACGATGTCTGACTTAAATATATTGTAGTAGTGGGAATATGTGTTTATACTCCTGGTGGATGTGATGGTAGAGAGTTTTCGTGGCATGGTGAATAGTGCGCTGCGCTGCGCGGTGCGTGCGGACATTCTGGTGATTTCAGCACCACCGACAGCGCCGACGAGTTCCAACGCGAGCTGCAGGGGGCGCTGAACTCAGCTGCGTACTGACGTCAACTTGCTTTATTTAGATGGATAGTTCATATTTTATGAGGACACTTCACATTTCACAGGACACGATCAGATTTAAACCGAATTCCCCAATGCGTTAGAGTACAATCTTTTTCCAATTTCCAATTGTTTGCATTTCTAAATCCCAGATTACCGACAGATCTTTTTCACAGGAACTAAACTGCATCTCTGTGCTGTGCTGAGAAAGAAAAGTTCAGCTGCCCTGAAATGCAGAATTCTCTGAGTTTAATGTAGTTTTTTGGTGTATATTTGTGTACTTCACCCCCATACTATGTAGTAATGTGCAAAATACAGAAACACCAACACGGAGCCACGTGCCATTGAACCAATACACTAATGACAAAATTCAAGTCAGTTTATGTTGTTATTACATGACTTTATTGCATGTTGTATTTATTACATGTCATCAGCCTCTGTCATTACAGAGGCTGATGACAAATAGGAAATATGAGACTGGGTGAGACGATTACCCTATAATAGTTATTTTGTGATGTTTTAGTGCAAGGAGATGGTGGCCGACGGTTAAACTGTACCAGATGTGGCATGTGCGATATAAATATACTATATGGAGCAGTTGTATTTACATTATCCCTTACACAAACAAAACCTCCCCTTCACCCTCAGGCAATGATGTCGATGGTGAACAACAACCTTGACAGCAACATCTGAGTGTTGCAGCATCGGCTCCTTCAACACATTTAAAAGTACCAAAACATTGTGCATTTCTCCTTCTCTTTCTTGTTCAGTAATTGGAAGGAGTTTACCGAGTCTAATCCTAAACTCTGCTTAAAAAGGACATATGAAGAGAAACAGAATAAGCATGGTGGGGATAACTTGTTTTTGCTGTTGGTGGCGTCACCGCCTGACACGTCCTGACACGCTTGTCTTCCGGGGGCCTTATTGGCGAAGCGGCGTAAAAGGAGGAACTAGGTGAGAATCAATGTTTCTGCCAGGACCGTTTAGTGTGAGACACCATGGCCTGGGCTGCTGCTCTGCCCTGGGCCATGTTTAATTCATGTATTTCATAAAAGCTGGATGCAGTGAGCCCAAAAGCCATTAGTGTCATCTTCTTTTCTCTTTACAGCGTCATGCCTCCGTTTGCACTTCCTCTCCTCTCTGTTTTCATCCGAACGATACATCAATTTTCCTTATCGATCTTGCCCTTCCTTTTTATTCCCGTCTTTTCCTATCAGTCCCTTTTTCTAATCAATTTGACCAACTTGTTAAATATATTTCTACCTCTTCTGATGCCTTTCACCTCACTTATATTTCAAATGTTTTCCCTGGCTGCACCTGCTCACATTCATTCAATGTACACTGGTGCCCTCTTTCTGCCTTAAGTGAAACACAACATATAAAAATATCTCTCCCCCCACGTAGGAACTTTATTCTTAAATTATTCACGTCCACATATCTGCACCACATCCTCTGACCCCCAAGATAAGTGCTTTTATTTTCAACTCAGCGTAAGGAAATCTGGACGGCCTTCTTTATTCTGCCTGACATAATTGTCTCACTGAGGAGGGGTTTAATGGAGCGGAGGTGATCAGAGGCTTCTGGAAGCTTCCAGGAGGCAGAAAGGTGGATGTCATATATTCCTCATGTGGTGAGAAAGAAGAGAGTAGTAAAGAGGTCACAGTCGCAATATAGGCAGAGCAAACGGCATGACCACCTGAGAGGTTCAGTGCACCCTGCATCCAGGAAATCACATCAGTCAGACTGAATATTCACCAAAGAATAGTCAAATAGTCGTGGCCTTGATGCAATTCACTACCCGAAGGAGATACAGTATCGGTCAAAGGCTTGGACACCTTTTCTCATTTAGCTCGATGAGTAAGTGCGTCCTTGACTTTGGACTGTTGCTGTATGTCATGATAATACAATATTCACTTAAGCAGATCATCAAATGAGGTCATCAGCAAAAAGATGTGATACAGTTTTGCATTATATTTAGCTGACGCTTTTATCCAAAGCGACTCACAATAAGTACATTTCCACCAGAATACAGTACAGTAGAGTTTATTTTGCAGTTATGCCCCCGGAAACCTTTTTTTTAATGTTCTAAAATAAAAATGAATGGCTTTTGATTGCAACAATGGTGGCTTAATTGCAACCATTGAATCTTAAGTATTCCATATTCAACCTAAGAGCAGATATTTTCTATAATTTATATTCTCAATATTCAGACCTCATGTGATTTGGTGTTGACATTACCAGATGTGTTGATAGAAGTTATAAGTCTTTACCGAGGCAATCTTATAAATTGAACGAAGGATTATCAGCTCAGTGCACATGCACACAGATAACCGCAGGTGGAAGAGCAAATACACACACCTACACAAACAGATCTGTTCATTTGTCTGATTAAGGAAAGCAATAATTTGATTGACTCTGCCCACGTAGATCTAAAGCTGTACACACTGGGGTGTGCAGCACACCTACACATACAGAGGCTTTCCATCAGCAGCAGGTAACATATTTTACATTGAAGCCGAAAGTGAGCGTACACACATGAAACACACTCATGTCGGTCCTGCAACTCTAATTTCCTCTGTGACAGTAAATGTTTTATAATCTGTCGAATGTAGTCCAAAATGTGTGCAGACTAAAACAGCAATAAATCAAATCAGGGCAACAATGCTGGACCCAAATTATACACAAACTTAGTATTATCACTACTGTTAAGTCCGTGAATCTGTCCCCACTTACGGCGTCTTCACATGCACACAGTCACAGTCGCACAAATATCTGAGCTCCAAAGATGTCAGTGTGATGTGAGGAGATGTGAGCAAGTCAGGAATCGTAAACGGATGGGTATGAATCCGGAAATAAATGTGGCCGCTCACCAGTCTGGCATGGCTCTTGTTGTCATAGCTTGTCATAGAAAGGGCACGTGTATCTCACGTATTCCAGCCACAGGCAAGAGGAATATCATCAGAGCTGTCTAAGAGCATTTCACTCATTACAGGCAAGCAGGGTATCTTGTATTCATCGCCGCGGTGGCAGAGGAGGAAGGGGAGTATAATTAGAGACACAATGCGCTGTTGAAACTAGGGAAGGTTTTCATGGTCTGGATGTCTTAAATTAAATGAGAAGCAAAAACAAAACAAAAAAGTACTGTGCCGTGCAGACTGGTGTTTTCAAGGAAAAGATGAATATTCAGAGTTATTAAGAGAACAGATAAAGGTTGGGCCTTTGTTTCCCCGTCCTGCATTTTTCTCTCATCGCAGTGTTTCTTTGCTGGTGTCCTTTCTGGTCTTCCTCAGACAGCACACGCGTGTTCACGCACACGGTGGTGGTTCATCCTGTGGGACAAGCTGACTTAAGCCATCATGCCAAGCATGCAACATCTAGCGGAGCCACAATCACACGGGGAGAATACTGCAGGGTCATCAGGGAGCAGCCCACTGCTGCACTGGCACGACTTTATTTTGTCTGTTTCCCTCTCTGCTGCTTTCCGCTGAAGAACACATAATACTTCTCAAGTGCAAATGAACACTTGTATCAAAAATCTATTTCAATTCCTCGCGCGGTACGAGTGAACGGTGCATTCAGCTGATTTGTGGCTTCACACCGGCGGCGGCAGTCGATAAATACTGTACGACGTAAATTACTCGCACGCGGGGATCCTCTCTGAAGGCTGGTATTTGGCGCGCAGCCTGTCCCGTGTTCTAAGCTAGTTGGGCGTGTAGCGTGAAGAAAGGACAGATAATTGGGGTTTATCGCTGGCATATTTTTAGTTCACATTTTCTACGCACGCCATTTTGAAAACCGACTGAAAAGCAGCGAGGGGGGGGGGGGGGGGTAAGAAGAGGAGAGAGAAAGAGGAGCATGATGGGAACGGGGGTTAATAATGGGAGGAGAGAGACGGAATGGGCGACAGGGATGGAGCCTGGCACGTGGCCAGGTTCGGTGGAGTGTGTGTGTGTGTGTGTGTGTGTGTGTGTGTGTGTGTGTGTGTGTGTGTGTGTGTGTGTGTGTGTGTGTGTGTGTGTGTGTGTGTGTGAAGGAGCAGCAGCAGTGTTTCTGCCCTCAGGCACAAGTGCGGGTAGACGGAGCAGAACGAGCCCTCTGGATTCCTGCCAGGGAGGCCGGCAAACCATCCTTATTTAGGAGAGCAACCTCGTAGGAGACTTTAGCTGCACGGGGAGCCGGATTACCCACCATGATGCAGAAGACCCTTGTTCACCCTGGCAAACATCACGGGGCCCACGAGCCGAACGCTAGACGGCATCCCGTCAAGTTTAATGAAGAAACAGGGGAGACTGAGAGCTAGAAGTGGCCTTGTGGTGGTTTGATGATTAAAAATGGAGAAAAGATACATTTTACTCAACAGTAATATAAATTGGATGCTTATTTTCCATTAGTATATAGACATGCTTGAAAGACCAAAAGCTTTGTCTCTTGGTAAAGTCGAGAGAATAGGGAATACCACCAGAATAGACATCTACTATCATACAGTTAGCTGAGAAGATAGATACCAGTCTCAGAATCATCTGTCAACCATAAAGCAACAGCAGGGGATTTGTTAGTTTAGTTTAACTTGGACAGGGTAATTAGCAAGATTAGGTCTGCAGAAAGGTAAAAATATCTGTGTACCATCAGATTTAATGATCACTAATTAAAACCTGCATTATTGTTTTGTTCAATACGTACATAACGAGTGTCTTGCTGAGGCCCAGCCGTGTCTCCAGTTTATGTTAAGTTAAGCTTTCTATCACAGATCGGTAACTTTATATTCAACACAGACTTGAATGAATGCTGATTGACATTCTCCAAAACTTGTTTGTAAAAATGTATACGAAAATCTTGAACATACAAATTCGTAGTGATACATACTAAATAAATACGGACTGCAACTGATGACGTCACTCTATTCAAAGTGAATGGGGACCTGCACCCCATAAACACACTTCGTGAAGTCTAACGATTTAAAATAAACATGTTAAGATTGCATTTTTAACGAGAAATCAATGTTAACTTGTAAGAATAGAATACTAACCCTAACCCCCTCAAAAAATCCAACATGGCGGAGAGACGTTCACTCAAGAATCCAACATGGCGGAGAGATGTTTACTCAAGGGGCGTGGTTAACCACCACCAGCTTGTATGTATTGTTACGAATTTCTGTGTCAAATATTTCGTATTAATTTTTTACGAACAGGTTTTGGAGATCACGTCTCACTCGTGGTACGTGAGGTGATAAGTATTTACTTTTGACTCTTTTTAGTAAAACTTGAATGCAAAAGTGTGTTGAAGATCTTGAAACTTGAAACTAGTCTAGATGTACAAATATCTACGTATATCTACGAGTCTACGTCAATGCACCAACCAAAATCTTCTCACCAAGCAATTTCTACCTTTACGTTGCCTTTGTCTATTCACTGGCCCCTTCAAGAAAGATTTATCTTGAACCAATGCCATCTTTTCCGAAGCGCTAACTATTGGGATGTTGCGTTATTGCGTGCTGAATATTCAGTAGGAGCTGTAGAATATGAAAGATTGTACTTCAGTCATCCCGGCTACCGCACCTTAACAAATGGAAAGATGGCTTGTTGGGAACACTTTGTGTTTGGCAAAAACTGCTGATCAGGAAAGATGGCTCCCCTTAAATCAAAGCCGCAGCAGAGATCAGATGGCTGAGGATAAAGGGGGACGAGGGGGGGGGGGGGGTACGAAATGGGGAGACAAAAATATATTTTTCTTACTTACTGGAAGAAAAGTCGTTTCAGTTTTCAACCATTTATCAGCTGCTTTTAGATCATAATTTACCCTTGTAGTCTTGTAGACACTTTAAATACCTATACATTTAGATAACTACTAAAAAATATTACTTTAGATTGCTGCTTGCACACCTAATTGTGAAACCGGTGTTACAACTGACTCAATTATGTACCATACCGACCATTATTGAGTCATACAATCCTAAATTGCATACGACAGCGTTACATTAAACAATCACACACACACGCAGACTCACACAGAGGGCGCACAGTAAATATCCGTTTCGTCGATATCTGTCCACAGCAGCAGAGGACCATAGTATTTCTCACTGACGTGCAGACTTCAGGACTCACCGCTTCACTTTTGCTGAGGTGAAGGATTTGAGCCGGCGTGTCACGCTGTGCGTGTTCATTCAGAGGTAAGAAGTAACAGTGTCCTTGGTCTTCAGCGGCTGCTTACGGTGTTATTCTCACCTGATGTTACCTTTAGGCTGGCAGATGGGGTTCACAAATGTGGGCACATGCACTGGCACGCGCACAGACACACACACACACAAACACACACATGTGCCTGCAATGGAACAGAAGAACATTGGTGCTGTCGAGCACATTCCCTCTTCTGTCAGACGGAGGAACGAGTGTTTCTCGTACACACACGCGGGATGTCGCCCTGAATGTGGGTTCAACCTTATATTTTCTACCTCAGATTGACCCTCGCAAAATAACAAGTCTCTATAAACCGTTAATGTGGTGCATTGTATCTCACCAACAAAGCAGATAGCATTTGATCATTTTAACATTTCAGAGAAACACTGTATGTGTTTCTCTGAATCACAGATTCAGACAAGACCGCACACACACACACACACACGCACAAAACCAACACAACTGCCTGTCTTCTGATGATGTTTGATCAACGCGTGATGAAAACAGGTTTGGGAAAAGGTCAAAATGGGATCACGCTCACACAGATAAACCACGTCACAGATGAACTCTCACTGTCATTATACTCACTATGCTTATACTTGCTATATTTTTGAGAAGTAAAGATACTTGCAGCACTTTCTGCCGTCCCCGTCTGCCCCCTTCTGAGTGCTGCGCCTCCTCTCATCGCTGACTGTCAGCGCCGCGTCTTTTAACAATGTCACTTATTCCATCCATTACTTGTCTGACTACATTATCTCTTTTACTAAATATAGTACAATAAAGCGCGTCTTTGGGTCCAACATGTGTAGATTACTGTTGATTATCTGTTGATTATCACACAGTCTGATTGTATATAATCTTTTGAGAGCCTGCAGAAAAGTGGATGACACAAAGGGTTTGCAAAATATTATATGTGGGTCTGAAATAAAGAGGCGTTGACCGAGTTTTTTCTTTGTGCTTTTGTTCATACTGAAATTGTAATTGAAGACTATATGGTTTCAATTTCTAAAGCAGCTCAGTGATATTAAAAAACAGCAGGTTAAGGAAGATGTTTGCACATTTTACCCAAAATGTATTGACTGTGGAGTTGATATTTTTTGATCGATACACGTTTGGTGCAATTTTTTACAGCAGCAGTTTGTGAGGGGTTTGTCAAAATAAACTAGAGTTGCTGTAAACATGGTAATATTGCCACATGTTTGAAAGTTGAATGTGTCAGAAGAGAAATGGCAATTTTTTGCAAACTTGAATATAATGTAGCGCAGTTAATAGTATTCAGGACCATAACCTTGACAGCAATATACCTGAGTGTTTCCTTAATATCTGATGTTTGAGGATTTTAACACAACAATTGAGCATGTTTCAAGATCATTTTGACAACAAACTTAAATTAATGAAATTAATGGGCCTGGATTTTTTAGGAAAAAAGAATAACAAAAATGACACATGTATCTATGGGAAATGTTTTTTTCTTGATAATGTCATGCACAGATTTACTGGGCTAACTGTGCAAAACTATTGGTGTTGTCTTCATCTAAAGAGGAAGATGAGAGGAATAAACTAAGGGAACAGCCAAAGCACATAAAATAGCTTTTTATTCAACATGTAATAGAATACAGTCAGTGTCGTTTTTATTATTAATACCCGGTGCTGCTAAAAGTGATTTGGCTCACAAAGGAGAGAAAAATAACAGAATAACCAAACATATGACAGGAAGACAGAAAGAGAAAGCAAGAGGAGCGTACTCATTCTTCAAAAAAGCCAAAGCGGGACGATTACAACATTGTTCAAGAGGTGGATCGTGGAGATGAGGCACAATGCTCTCAAGCAGAACATGAAAAAGGACAGAGAGCGACAGAGAGGATGGATTCATATTTTTATGAAGAGAAAAGGTGGATAGGACAAATTGTTCCTGCTTTTCTACAATACAGCTTGGTTTGTGACAAAGGAAAACGGGGGCCATTGTACCATTGTCCCAATGATTGGTATAATGTCGTGAAATGTCTTATTTTTTACAACAACAGTGCTGCAGAGGACAGACGGTCTGTTTTAGGTCCACTGTTACAAACAAAGCAAATGTAGTGCTGCAGCTGCTCAGCTATGGTTTCTATGGGAGATGATTATTTGGTGGTTTTCTATTTCATGTCACACAAATCTTAGAAATCTCCATACCTATGAAAAGAAAAACACAATAGTAAATAGAAATAGATTAGAAGACATGCAATGAAAAGCTTCGCCGTGAAAGCTGCGAGCACAAAAGGATATTTTTGAAATGAAGATAAAGCATGAACCCAAATAACTAGACGTTATCCTCTCTGATGCTGGCGTATTGCTGCTGACCTATTGATTCTGGTTCAATTCCCTCAACTAGTAGCAAATTGTTAGAATGAGAAGAAAACTGTATAGTGTCAAAGCAATTATCAACAATTTCTCATTTGAAGCAGCTCATTACTCATAAATAACAAGATATTACATGATTCTACCATGCTGCATCTCAACCACGGCCCATTAACCTGCATCATCAGACAATAATAATACAGGTTGAAATCACGCCACTATCTCCTCCACTCTGCTTGGGGCTTTAATGAAATCTGATGCTGTTGCGATGCACTTTCTCTTATTGCTTTTAAAGCTTTAATTATGGAGACTGCAAAGGGGCTGGTATGTTACCAGTTAAATTCAAATAGAGTACAATTAGACATTGGCATAGATCAGGTATACAAAAAACAGTATGGTTCTTTCATATTTTATATATTTAAATGACTTGTTATTGCCAAAATAAAATATTTGTTAAGATGTGCTTTAATGTAAGTTTCAGTGTGTATGTGACTCACTCGGCGTCATCAGCTGTGGGTACGTTATAGCTCTGGAACAGCGGCTGCATGAAGAGCCCCAGCGTTCCCACCAGACACACCAGGATGAAGATCCACAGGAACAGCCGGTCTATCACCATGGCTACGTACTTCCAGTCCTCTATGATCTGGAACCAAACCAACAAGTTGCAGATTGTTAATACAGATCAAATCATGACTACAAAGTAAATTAGTGGGAACAGACCTTCAGGGAAACATCATGTTGTAATGCTGGACAACTAGTGAGGGGTCTCTAAAAACAACAGGTTTGTGTGCTCAAAAAATCCACCTACTGTTTGCTTGACCCCAAACCGTGACCGTCCAATAGTGGATTAGAAGGATCAGTTCATGACAAGCAAAGTGGGAATATGTTAGAAGCTACGTGCTTAATGCTTAGACTCCAGCAGCCCAAACCAAAATCACCTGAGACTGCATTGTGTATGCTAAACATATTGGGTACTTCTCCTCGGCAACACCTTCTTCATCTCATCCCTGGAGTCAATAAGCAGGTTAACTATACAATGACAGGCATTTTCTGTCAGCCTTTCACAAGCTTTCAATGACTTTGGCACTGGGATGCAGTAGAGGGTGCAGATTTCTTTTTCACACAAATTGTGTGTAGTTATTAAGTGCATTTTTAAGCACATGTATGGTTCTCATTTTAACATAGGTTAGCAAGAGTCAATGAAACCAGCTGGTGACGGTGTTTCTGACCAACTTAAAGCTTAACTTTAATAGACTTAGAGTCTATGAAGCTTCGAGGACACCAAATGCACATCAGGGTACAACTGCACCAATGCCGACGGAAAAGATGCGGCTTGAGGAGGAATTTGCCGTGGCAACAAATTTCAGTTATGGGTACTTCGCCTAAATGAGAGTTTTCTGAGGTTATCTGACATTTTCAGAAAAAGAGTTGGTGTCGACAGGTTGGAAGTCACAGAAGGAATTATTTAAGGATTATGGATTATTTGAGGCATGGCATGTACGGCAAGGTATTTTTATTTATCACTTCCTGCTCATCATCACATGCATTCTTTTAACCACAGCTTCATCTCCTCACCCCTTCATCGTCATCTTCTGTCCTCATATGTTCAGCGATGTATCTCACTCCGTCTACTGCCTCCTCCACATCTGCATCCCACTGATCAGCCGAAGGCCTCCGGAAGTCTGAAAACCCACCACCCCCATCTGGGACGTCGTCCACTTTCCAGCAAAACTTGTGTGCCAAGTCCTCATTCACGTAGAAAGAGTCGGCGTCTGTTCGGATGCCGCCGAGTCTGATGTTTGAATACTGCTTCTTGTCTGTTCCGCCCTGGGCGTTGTTTTTCCCGACCGCACTCCGGTTTGCGTACTTCCTGCAGAGTTTATCCCGGATGTTGGAAGGTCCCGGACGCCTCATGAAGAGGAAGTTGGGGAGGCGGACTAAGAAGAGGCGTTTGACCCAGTCGGGCATGTGGTGGGTAGACGGGGAGCGATGATGCACATTGAGGACACAGACGCTGGTCACAATGGAAAACGTGACCAGCACCATGGTGAACATCAAGTATTTACCTTTGAGAGGGAAACAAAAAGAAAGTTGTTAATTTTTGTTACCCTGTCCTTGATTTATACGGCATAATGTCAAACAAAGTCTCTAATAAAGGTCCTCTGTGGCTCCACCTCCATCGGTGCAACAGAATCATTCATTCAACACATTTGCTTTTGAACAGGCTCTTTGAAGGAGATATGAGAAAAGTCCCTTTGAGTGTAATCTGTCTATTTAATCTAGTAGCCCAGATGTTGACATATCTTGCGCCCTAAATGCACACTGCCGTAATAAGATGCAAATACATATGACTGACCTATGAGTGGCACTGCGAGAGAAGTCGGCGGCACTATCTTTGATATAAGCAGCAGGAACACAGTGAGAGCCAGCAGCACAGAGATGCACAACGTCATCTTCTCCCCGCAATCGGACGGCAGGTAGAACACCAGGATGGCCAGCGATGTGATCAGCACGCACGGGATGATCAGGTTAATGGTGTAAAACAGCGGCTTCCGCTTGATCACAAAATCATAGGATATATCCAAGTAGGTGATGTCATTGGGGTCCTCGTTTTTCCGCGCGGGGAGCGAGACGATGTCCCACTCGCCGCTGGGCGTGAAGTCGTCGCGGCTGGCAAAGTCGCTCGTGAGCATCAAGTCGAGTTCGGTGTGGTCGTAAGTCCACGAGCGGAACTTGAGAGTGCAGTTCTGCTGGTCGAAGGGGAAGTTCTGCACCTCGATGGCGCAGGCCGACTTGTAGATGGCTGGCGGGAGCCAGAAGATGTCGCCCGTGTTGGAGACCACAGCGTTGCAGTAGAAGGAAACCTCGTACACGCCGTCAGCACTGGGAGACGTTGTGGGTGAGAGGTAGGATCAGAAAATGGATGGATTCAAAGCGTGCTGGTGCAATAACCACATGAATAAGACATATTTGAAGACAGAAGGCTCTTAAGGCAGCAGTGGAGACCTTTTCCCCTTCATTGTAACGATAATAATGACATATATTGAAAACCTCTCACAAAAACGGGCTTGGTAGAGTGAGAACACAACATTTTTACAGATGCTCTACTTGTTAAGCCCTGATGTACATCTTGGAAAACCTCTTAATGCTATAGAATAATATACCAGTAACTCCATTAAAAGTAATCCATTAATATGACGCCACCACTACACATTTAAAAACATGCTGTAGTTGCATTCTTTCTACACACTGACTTTAGTGCAGTACAAAGATCCAGATCACCAGTATCCAATATGCAAAAGGTGTTCTTCTCTTCGGTGGGACGACCTGCACATACTTACTTGTTGTAGAGCACTATATCAGGGAGCCAGATGTGTTTGGATGGAATTCGTAGTTTCTTGATGCCTTCGTATTTAGCTGGGTCCCATCGAAGCCTGTAGTCATTCCACTCCTGCAGAGATGTTGAACCCCCTCCATTACTGACACCCCCACATAGTGTGTGTTGAACACTGTATGTGCATTGCAAGGCTAGAAAGATTAGATTGTACCTGAAACAGCCACAAGTTAGTAGTCATTATCTGTTCTCTCTCGTTCTGCAAGAGAACATAAGTCAGCTTGTCATTCAATAGGCATCATTTCTAGAAAGAAATATCATCAGAATATAAATGGTTGGATTATTATAATGCATTCTACTGCTGGTGGATTTAGCAAAACACACTGTCAATGGCAAATAGCAAGGCAAATGTTTATGTGGAGGAAGCAAAATATCCCTTTCAAAATTTCCAAAATGTCCCAAAGGTAGATTTAATAGAGAGCTCAGTGTATTTTTTGCCTCAGTAAATATGTGTTGTCACGAAGCACACAAGGCATCCTGCGGGAATCAGACTGTGACACGAGGCCAAAGCGTTACATAATTCAAATGAACGATGGTTACTGCATTATAAGTTGTCTTGTTCTAACAGGAGAGATGTCAGACAACGTTGGCAAAGATGACAAGCATTGAATATAACTATATAGAAATAGGCTTTTACTTATGTAGACTATATAAGATGAATACACAAAAAAATGAAAACATTACATTGAGATTGTTCCATAACCAGTTAAAAGTAAATAACAATTCAACATATAACAACATTATAACCACAAAAAAAATGTTAGCCAGGCAATTTAAAGAACAATATAATAAGAAAAAAAATAATTAATTATTAGCTTTGATCTTTTTTTATATGTCGAATAATAACCATAACACTAAGTTTGTTTGTGATCCATTCAGGGGAGAACCAAAGAAACCGAGTTGCCAAAGTACGTCTGTGTTTGAATGAAAGCTGGCCAAACAAGTGTTACTTCCTACCAGCATCTACTTTGAACTTATGCAACAATACTTTTGACAAGCATGTCCATGAATTTAGGAAGAACCTGTGCAGTTGCCAGAAATTGTGAAACATGCAACATCAGCTAAGTTCACACTGCGCAGCCTTAGCTAAGACCCCATGTGAACTCCTTGCTAAATGTGTCACGGTTGCTCATCGTAATCACAGCTGCGTCCCAATACTTTTTTTAGAGTGTGTCAAAACTTGTGTTTTTGTTTATGAAACAATACTTACGACGCCGCTGCAACGGCGACAAAGACACCTGTATGGAAATGGTGACCTGTTGGCTCTTATTGACAGCCGGTCTGATCAGTTTGTTGTAGCGCTCTGGACCCAGCAGGTAGTTCACCAGCCTCTCCTCTGCATTCTCTGCCCTGCTGCCTGCGGCCCAATCAGAACACAGAGAGCGGGAAAACATCTGGTTTTAAAAGAGCTACGAACCCATTTCCAACACAACCAATACAGGTGCCCTTGAATGTACTCCAGCAACAGTGTTAGAATGCAAAAATGTCCCCACATTATGTTTGCGTGCGTTCGTGTGTGTTTGTGTGTGTGTGTGTGTGTGTGTGTGTGTGTGTGTGTGTGTGTGTGTGTGTGTGTGTGTGTGTGTGTGTGTGTGAGACAGATCCAAGCGTGGTATTCATAACAGCATGTTTTCAGTCCAGTGACACCATGAATGATGAACAATAAACAAGTTGAGTGTAAATAAAGTTAATTTACCAAAGGGCTGAATCATGTGTTCTGTTTATAATGTGAGTTTGTGTGTGTGTGTGTGTGTGTGTGTGGGGGGGTGCCGTGTTGCAGTCTCACGTTTTACTGCAGGGTTTGAGAGCAAAGAAACAAACAAGAATCCAGTCATGCATCCATCACTGAAAGGATCCCTGAAGCTCTGTGTTTCCTCAGCCCTAAATTATTGGTTACGTAAAAGTGATCGTATGAATAAGTAACGAGCAAAATGCTTTTGACCCCATCTCCTGGCTTCCGTAGCCATTATTTCTACATTTTCAAACAAACTGACAGCAGCGTAGGGCGCATTTAATATGTGGGATGCTTCACCCCTCCTGTGCCACGTGAACCGTCTGTTTTCGTAAGAGAAGGCTGAGTGGGCAAAGGACATCTCCTTTTATTACAGTTCTCGGTTCTCTTAAGTCACTGTCAATGTTTTCAGCTATTATTCATTAGTTAAACTAAAGGCCAGCCTAACAGATGGAGGGCTTAATCACATTAGCATGAACATGTGTGGACACGGTTTTGAATGCAGGCAGAGAGTTGTTTTGTAAATACAGTATCTTGCATATACGTAAAGGGAAATACTACATGGTTATAATACCTGTATCAGAAAAATAAGGAAGGATAAGGAAAAGGAATATTTTTAATCCAAACGTGGTAATTACAAATAAAAATACAAAAAGATTAACCAATATTTATTTAATTTCAGCAAGGGAGCGATAAGGAGCGGTCAAGGAGGTCTGGTGCTCTGCTCAAGGAGGTCATTTATTTCTAACTCCACACGTTATGCGGTTTATTTTCGTATTCACCGCCGTCAGATTCAACGCTCCTGGCTGTCTTAACTGACACTTAGGGCGATTTATCAGACTAGAAGTATTCCTCTAGAGCAAGGCAAGGCAAGGCAAGGCCATTTTATTTGTATAGCACTTTTCATACACAAGGCCGACTCGAAGTGCTTCACAGAGCGACCTACACAACCTACCAAGACCAGCAAAGAGACTTGAATGTGTAAAATGAATAGATTTGTCCGTTATGGCCTGGGATGCTATTTTTAAATCTCTAGGTTTTTCAGTTTCGGATGAAACACCGATGCCAGCTGGTGCCCGATGTCATTGCATAGCACAAGGCCGGGTCAAGTCTTCAAACACCCACAACAACATGCTGGAAGACACAGCAAAGTACTCTCTGCCTTCTAGATGTATTACATTGTTTAAATTATTCACACCTATATTCCGGGTTATCTTTTCCTTAATGGATGTTACAGTATTGCCCGACTGCTCTTGGTCAGAGCCCACTTGTTTTTATAGAGCATGACTACTGAAGGCTCTGATTTTGTTTCTGTCTCAATAATTTAGTCCTGTTGAAAGATAAGTCCAGCATACAAACTAAAGCAGAGTCTACAAGCTAATACAATTTTATGGGTTTAAGTTTGAAGCAGTAAACTTAGAAGGCATCCTGAATCAAGGTTAGTCGAAGCTCTTCTTCAAGGTTTACTCCAATTGTCCAAATGTTTTGCCTCAAAGATGGGTGATGCTGCTTTCTTGGTGGTAAAAAATAGCTCTCAGTAAATTATTCAAAGAGCCCATCTGCTTTCACTCTTTTTCAAGTGTTTTAAAAGTATGATGACTACAGAGGTTTTTTTAAAACTGTCTCTGCAGCAAACATTGAGGGGTCCTTTGAGTTAGTTTCTTTCTTTAGTCTTGGAGGACTCAACCATTCATGAGACTCTTTGCACTATTGTAAATGTGATGCAACCGATAGGTAAGGAGGGTTGTGTGAGCTAATTTCCTCTGGGCTTTCCTAGCTAAAAAGAACTAAATATGCACGTGAACCTGAAACCCATATTTACATCATGATTACAACATTTCCTGTGATTACATGATTCCATGATTACCTCAAGTGAGTATTTGTGTCACACAGTCTACACCAGTTAGAGTTGCAGAAATTCAATGACTTATTTGGGCATATGCAAAAACAAAAGCAGCATTTTGTTTAATCGTCTCACATGAAATACTGAACGCAAAGTATCGTTTCAAATAATGTTGCTCAGGATTTAATTACTAGTTAATAAAAAAAGTGCCACCGGTAATGTGACCCCCCCTGTGCATGCTGAACATTACATTATTTTACCTTCAGCTAAATTATTTATTAATTTATTTCACTCAGACCTCATCTCAACCTCCTCTGCCCCCCTTGAGTGTGTGAGGGAATCAGAGAGTAAGCACGAGAGACGATTCTTCTTTGTGAGAGACGTTTTCGTCACATACGTGAGTAAATGTGTTCTCACTAGTGATATTGTCCCTGCGCACACGCTTAAAAATCAGTACTGGGTGATTCACAGGGACTTGACAGCCAATGGCAACTGCTGCAATCGTCATGTGTCAATAAAGTTTTGCTGCTTTTGGATTAATGAGTTTCACTGAGCTGAACGGATCCCGTCGTGTTTTATTACATACGCGTTGCATTTGTATTTGTATTGTAGTAGTGGCCAAGTTGTGCACACATCAGCACCACGGACAGCGGCATATTGTTTGAGCCGACGTGCAGCTGCTGCCCACAGACTCTTATTTTACTACTTAACCTCACTTATACACACATCCAAACTCTGGCAGGTGTAAGGCAATGACTTACCTGTTTGCGAGAGAATGAAGAGCAGGAGAACCGTGTTGGCAGACATCTCTTGTCTGCTTCCTTGGACAAAGTTGCTACTTTGTTATATTCTCCTCGAGAATATAATGAGATGTGGATAGCCTCGGTCAACAGGGTCCATGTACGGTGCCGGTGATCAAGGCTCTTGTTTCTGTGCCTCTCTGCGCTGGTTTGACGCGCACCTGCTTCGGTTCGTCGTCCTTCGCCACGAGTATTCAGCCGCGCAAAAAGGAGCACAGCCGTGACAACTTCTAAAACACACTAAACGGGTAATTTGGTGCCAGTGTTTATTTGCCAAACATTACATGATGGTCCATTTGCATAGATGACTACTGGAAGAACTGGGATGCCCATTTCCCACCGTCGCCTCAGCCTCAAACCATCCGCATCTTTAAACCGCTGTCAATCGAAATCCAGCGGTGCAAGTTAATGTAAAGGCTGCTGTCTTCCCGCCGTCTCCCCCCCCCAAAAAATATGTTCGCTCCCTCATCCGCGGAGGAAATCAGCGGCGCTCACCTGCGCACAGTTGGCTCGCTCCTCCGATGAAGCGCGTACTCGCAGTGCGCACAGAAAGTGCAGCGCGCGCTGACGAGGAGCGAGCGCCTCGTGTGTGTGTGTGTGTGTGTGTGTGTGTGTGTGTGTGTGTGTGTGTGTGTGTGTGTGTGTTACCCCCCGGGGGCAACTACGCAGACACCGGGGAGGGATTACTACTAAAGTCTGCGGGGCCCGGGAGGAGAAGCCGGGGGGAGAAGCAGGATGTTGCGGGTTGCGGTGAGGGGGGAGAGAGGGGGGGGGGGGGGGGGATTCATGTCATGGTTTGAGCTGATGTTCAGCAGTCAGTTCATTCTGGGTGGCCTCCGTTCTTCTGTCGGGGGAACAGAGAGGACA